AATATATTATATAGTTATATAATATATCTAGTTACTCCAGAACGAAATTTACAGATTAGACAGATTTAGTTCAGAATGTAAAGCTAATGGAAAAGCATTAAAAAAATATTACTGCAGTATATGAGAAAGTACTTGGAAATTTTGATATCTAATGAGTAGTTCATGAGAGTTCACATTGCTGACGAATATTTGAAAGAAAACCTGAATGAGAATCCGCATTAAAACATTATTAATTCACAAAAATATCTAGAGATATTAGTACGAAGAATATTATATTGTAGGTTAAACAACAAATGAATTATAAAACATTGGAAGATATTTGATCATCCAGAAAAGGAGTAATAATCATATTTTCTAATAGAGATAGAAGAACGACATAAGAAAAACGAAAACAAGAATTTTAAACTATTTAGATTCGACAAAGACAACTTTGATTGAGACAAAGAATATATACAACATCAGCATAGTCGAACAATGATACACAAAATTGCATAACATGTTTTTGTGAGACAGATAGATGTATTGTTGTTTGTTGAGAGGTCTCTCGTCTTTCAAGAAATGACGCAGAATACAATTTGCTTATTTTCAATTATCTTGAGATTAATTTACATTTTCAACATTGTTACTGTTGTAGTAAAATTATTTCTTCCCATAGAAAAATTGCTATTATCATATATGCAGAATGATAAATCTAAGAAGCAAATCTGGATTTTTTGCTTCTTCCTTAGGCAACTGTTGTAATATTAAACATCCCACAAAAATCTTGAAATAATAAAAGACAATTTTGATGAGAGGTAAACATACCAACTCTACTTCCTCCTCAGCATCGACAGGTTTGTGCTTTCCACCTGGTAAGACAAATTTCTGCCCAGGTATACGTAAGTCATCCAGCACTTTCACTAAGTAAGGTGTTTGCGCTAGACATTGAAGTACAGCATTGAAAAAACACGTGTTTCCTAGATTGGCTAAGCCCTATAATGCATAATTAAAAAATTCCTTAATTAAAATAAATATTTTTAACATTATTATACAATTTATCTCATTATTGCGTTATATATTAAAAAAGAAATTATAAAATCATGGCAAAAAAGATTAAGAAGAGCAACCTGAAATTAAATTATACAAAAAAGGATGTATCATATAATTCACATACTCCGACTTTAGGAAGATTATTCAATATTTTATGTTCTTTCTCCTGTACGTCGATTATCATCTCTTTTTGGCACTGAATTGCTGGCATTTTCAATTGAGATATTTGTGGTATATTAACATATTTTTTGATAAACTCTACAGCTTCTAGGAGTTTTTTCCTGAAAAGTAAAATAAATATAAAAAAAAGTAAAACAAATATATACATTTGTAAACATAAACATGCTTCTTATTAGGTGTATGCAAATATAAATATAAATTATTTTTTATAAAATTTTATATTTAATGTTGAAACATATAAGTATAATTCAATTATAGGAAAGTAATATATTTTTTCTATTATTTTTCAATATTTTCCTCAACTTTTCAGGCAAAATATAGACTGATATTCATAAGTTAATATTTCATGTGTCATATGACAAAGCTGTTGATTGACTGTAAGACAGAGAGGTTCTCAAATCTTTCTATCCTATAGCTAGTCAATATGCTAAAAAAATGTATCATACGATCAACTAATATATGAAAAATGTATCATATGGATCAATCAATGAATTTGTAATAACTCTCGCGATAATCGCTTGTTCCTATTTTGTGCTACGCGATTCGATAACTTCTGATAATAACGAGCTCATATTCGCACTGAGATGACTAATTGTAATTACGGAATTGCGCACTTGAGTAGATTCTTATAATTGTTCTCATTTCAAATATCAAATATATGTTTATCATTTTCTTACTATTAAAGGAAGTAATTCTTATTTGTTCTCTCGCCTTCCGATTCACTCCCGCTTCGAATAACCCATCCCCACCGTCTATGCGGAGCTGAGCAGTCGGCTGTCGTCCGTCGTATTAAAGAAATATGGAGAATAATTATTCAAGATTTAAAGGAGTAATGAAGAACGGCACGCTCACTCGTGCCTGGTACCCAACTTACATTAAGAGAGAATTCGTGATAATTCAGTGAGTAACTACCGACTTAGAGTATCAGATTAAAATCATTGGTTGTCGAATTGTGATAACAAAAAAGCGACGAAATTGTGCCATCGAAACTACGATCACGAATTATAGAAAAATTTCCGTGAAATATCATTCATAGTCTGTTCTTATTTCAAGGGCATTTCAAATAATGTGACAACTGGTTTATATCTTAAAATTATACTTAAAGTAATCTTAATATAATAAAATATAAAAATCGATTATGAATATCAACCATAGATTTCAGCACGATAAAAAGATTTATAGTCTTTGCTTGCAAAGACTATAAAATTTCATCAACAATTTGGAAACAATTATTTCAAAAGAAATTTGTAGAAAGAATATCACGATTGATTAAACGTGTTTTATTAGTGAAAGGTAATTTTTTTTTTATGAGAAGTTTGACAAATAATTATATTTCATTTTTATTAAAATAGATAAATTTGTTTGAAGTATTTTACAGTTAAACGTCTATTTCACTTAATATCCTGATATCTACCTGATTAAGTAGATATATTGAATCAGAGTATCCTGATATTTGGCTAATCAATTCAAGGATAATTCTAAGATATTCCAGGTAAAAATCTTGATTTTTTTAAAAATCAATTAATCTTCATCAGTTGATTAATTTTCATTTATTCACGCAAAAATTATGTCTTTTTATATTCAAATTTTAGAATTCCATGGCAAATTAATTAAAACGCAAATAAATTTGAAACAATATTACTTCATAAATAATAGCTGCTTTATAAATAATAAATGAACATTCAACACAAACGATTTTATAATTATAGACATTAAATTCAAATTTTTTATTAATAACTTGTCTATTGTATCTTTAAGAAAATGTTTATATCCAAACATAACTTTTCTCTTTATTAACATATCACAAACATCACTATATAAATACTTATTAATCAATTGATGTTTTATTAAGTTATTAGTCTAATTTTCAATGTACATACTTGCTTTTAAAGCTTCAATGATTCTACAATGATTATAAAATTCATCATTACATAATTCTTGCACATAAGCAAGAAATATTTCTTATTTCTTTCTTTTTTCATGATTCGATTTTTTTAAATAAAAGAATAACAAAAATTATAGGTCAGTCCTGAAATTGTACAGGTATTTCAGGAGTTTTTCAAGATATATTAAATTCCAGGATAATTCTAAAATTCAAGGATGTTCAAAGATTGCTGGATATTTTGTTGAACTAATTTTGGTGGTATCCAGAAATGTTTGATAGTGTACATTTGGACAATAAATATTGAATTTCATAAAAAATATCGGATAATTTATTTCTACACCTAATACATTAAAACAGTTTATCACTTAGCTCACCTACTGTTAGGATGAACTCCAATTTCACACTGATAGCACCAAACACTCCAATGGTAAGAATCCGTCACCATGCAATGGCAGTCGCTATGAGGCTTCCTATAATGCTCAAAGGCATGCTGCTTTTCCTCTTTACTACAGCCTTGTTCTCCACATTGCAAGCAAATCCACAAGGGCTTTGAAATATCACACTGCAAATATAAATAATTTTATATTAGATTTTAACACCTAGTATACTATTTCAATCAAATAATTGTGTTTACAATATCATTTACAATCTCTTCTGCTGTCTTGAGATCCATCTCTAGTTTTTTGCACATGGAACATTTGCTTAATATACCAGTCTTTTTTAGATTTTTTTTTACTTTGTTCAGGTTAATGGCCTTTGCTATGTGCGGACATTTTGCACCTGCTAACAGTCAATTAATATTACTCTTATAATAAAATATAAGTTCAACTTAAATGTCTTTTTAAAGATTTTATAAACATTTTTGAATGTGTTAAATTATAAAATGTTTGTTTTTAAATTATTAAGTATTAAATTATTAAGTATTAAATTATTAAGTATTCGGATGTTAAATCTTTCGATTTTAAAATTTCTAAATTTGCTTTGTGTTGCTAAATTTCTAAGTTGCTCGATTTGCTATTAACTCTATTTTGAAAATTCAAAGATATATCCTTAGGGATCAGAGAAACCAAAGCGAACATAAAAAATTAAAAATGAAAAAATAAGGAAACTGGGCAGTCCAAAATAATTTCAAAGATATCAGAAACTCTGGGAGACACGCGTCTCTAACCTGAGCTTGTCTCCTCACAAGACTCTGTGGAGGCCTCACTGACGTCGGGATTCGCGTCCGGTTGCCTATTCCGCTTTTTACTCATCTCGCCGCGCTACTCGTAAACGTTCTCGTCGTCGCGTACACGTCCGTGTTCGCCGCTCCACAGATCACGTCAGTTAAACCCTTATTGTGACGTTTGCGTGTACAAAAAAACCATGTGGAAACTGGGCTGCGTTCTACTTAAAGGTGCCTTTTCATGCTGATGCTTGACACCATAGACTTATAAGATAGATGAAGCAATGAGCATTCATACGAGAGAAGCTGAAGACTTGATAGAAAGAGAAAGAAATAATCGCGGAGTAGTTTTCTTCTTTTCTAATAGTGAATCGATTGGTCGCCGCGGCAAGCTGGAAAGTGGCCGAGAGCAACGAAGATAGAAGTTCGAGAGTTGGATCAAGCTGATTAGTCCCCTACCGCTAGTATAAAAGAAAGAAACAACTATGTCTAGAGTAGAACTGTCCTTCAATGTGGTCTTCAGCTTCTCTCGCATAAATGCTCCATCTATTTTGTAAATCTACGCTCAATACTCATTTTCAGCATCTTAAAATAAGTCAAAATTGATGTTTGATATTCGTTAATTTCACTTATTTTGACGCCGAAAATGAGCAGCAATGAAAAGACACCTTTAAGCCTTAAGCCATAATGGACGAATTACAATCAATTATTCTCCTCGCATATGACTGCAGTTGATCAGTTTCTTACGGCTTAAAACTTATTAGTAGATTCGGATTAAGAGTAAAATCACGTGGTGCGGAAAAGACTGCAAAATAGAGAATGTGTCGTAGAAGCAATCAGCGTTATTCTGCGTTATTTTGAATAGCGCTTATTGTATACCGTGATTTCACCCAAGAGCTGACGCATATAAAATTTCTATAACAGTAAGGCTCCCATGAGGTATATTTATCGCGTATTGCGCGTAACCGCGTAACCAATCAGAAGTAATCCAATCAGAAGTAATCTGTTGTGGTTTCGCGTTTTACTGATTATTGATTGATTACGCGATATGCGGTTCCATCCATCTCATGGGACTCCAATCTAAAGAGCTCCGCACAATAAAAGGAACAGAGAACAGAGAATAAGAATTTCAACCTCAGAAATCATGTATTGTGGAATACACTGATAGGTTGAAATTCTTAAAGGCATTCTACAATGCGTTGCAAACACCTGTTGTCAGTTGAAAATTTGATCGCAACAATCAATTAGAAACGTTATTTATATTTCTGATTAATTGTCGCGATAAACGTTTCAATTGGCAACGGTTGTTTGCAACACATTGTAGAATGTCCTTTATTCTCTGTCCTCTATTCCCGATTCCTTTCATTGTGCGGAGCTCTTTGTTTTAAGACGTGAACTTAGCCGATGAGTCAATCAGGATATTGCTTTAGATCTACGTACTCTAACGAAAATAGAAATAGTAGTAACCTTATCCATAAGGCGAGTTTCAACTAAAATAAAATTTATCTTATTGCAAGATTATGGATAAGTTTACTGTTATTTCCATTTCTGTTAGATTACTATCTAAAGCAGTATCCTAATTGACTCATCGCCTTAAGTTTGCATCTTATGCATACTGTTACGGAATTTTATGTGCGGCAGCTCTAATTGGTCAATTTCTTACAGTTTAAGGTACATGTTCATGCATGGTGTCGCTCGCGACAAACGAATCATGTGATTTGATATGTCGTTCATATAAATTGGTTAACAGCGATAAATTTTTGACAGTGACCCAATTTCCACCGAGGGTTTAATCCAGATCAGAATGTAAGAACCAATCATCTACAGTCGAGCATTCTCCTATTGTTCAATTGTAAGGCATTCTACACAAAAAATTATCCAATCACATTCTATTATAAAAACAAATGTAAAATTGAATGATTTTCTTTATACATATGGTTATGCAGCTGTGCAAGCACAGTATATACAGTAGCGCAACTCTCCTGATTTTGTTTCCCAAAATGGAATACGCATGCGTGAAATAAGTACGTTGCCCAGTCATCTAACGTCATCTAAACTTCTCACTTCTTTCTTTTTTCGTTCTCTCTTTCAGGGCCATTTAAATATGTTTCTTTAACGATTTAAATACGTTGTTTATTTTCCTGAATTGCTTTCGTTTTAGCTAAAAAATCTGCTTTTATGTAGTGCAATTCTAATAATTTATTAAAACACGCGATTTAGCAAAAAAACAAGCATCGTGTGTTGCTGTCGTTAAATGAAATATTTTACAGTATAATATTTGTATTGTACAACATTTATATAATATTTTATATCTTCTTATTTTTATATTTTTTTTATTTTGTAGTGCATTATAATTATAAATCTATTTCTTTTAGTTTTATTACATTTAGATTAAACTTTAATGTACAAATGACCTAGAGAGAGAGAGAGAGAGAGAGAGAGAGAGAGAGAGAGAGAGAGAGAGCGGAAAAATAAAAAACAACTGAGAAAGAAATTCAGATGACGCTACTGGGGAACTTATTTCGCGCATGCACACATTTTGAGAAACACTAACATCAAAGGTGCCGACAGAGAATATTACTATGGTGCAAGTTTGTGTGGAATCCTAATAAGGGAATACTTGATTGTAATTGGTTGGTTTTTACATTCTGATCAGATTAAATCCTCGGTGGAAACTAGATCATTAAGGGCCAGTTGTTCTATCTTTTGATAAATTTTACCTGTTGGGTAAAATTACCCAATCACATGCGCGGGTTGCCAGATTTACCTAATAGATAAAATTTACCAAAAGGTGGAACAACCTCGTCTAATTATATTAGTTGTGTAAAGTGTTGTGTAAAGTGCTGTAAAGTCCAAAATGTCATATATCGAAAACGGTACTACAATTAGACCTCAAGTTGATACGATTGTGCACAACAAAAATAAAGTGCACAACGAAACTACGATAGACTATTAGCAGCTGCATGTATGCATTAAAGAATGTATAAATTTTAAAAATATATATAAAAAAAGAGATTTTGGGTTGATCTTTTATTTGAAAGATAACGTGAACGTAATTAAAAAAAATTATTATTAAAAAATTATCAACAAATAACCGGTTTATATATTTCCATGATTAAAATATTCTTTTTATTTATGATTATTTCACATATGCCACAAGTATGTACAATAACTATCTGAAAATTTCATGAAATTATCGCAAATAATAACAAATAATTAAATAATAAGGTAAAGGTTGAATATCCCGGTCATCTAAAATTTTCATAAAAATAGATCAATCAATACATTTTTGCATAAAAATAAAGATTTCACAAGAAAAAAGCGTCACTCTGTCCCTCCCTCCCTTCTCACAAACCGAGATATTAAGCGGTAAGAAGATATGTATATCCACATAATCGCACATAAACATATACATAAAGAGAATTATCCAATTGCATTTCTCTTATAAATCACATGTAAAATGTGATTGAATAATTTTATGCATACGTTTATGCGGTTATTCAAATTGTGTAGATATATCGTAAAGTTGACGACTATTGAGATTAGGAAATCTGTCACAGCCACGAAATACTGCGATGCAAGTATGCGCTGCGGTCTCAAATTCGCTATTTTAAAACAAGTTCTCTGCTCTAAAATACAAATTTCCGAAACCAGGCAAAGGTCGGATTTAGGGACAGATATATATACTCGTATTCTGTGATGAAAGCAAATGAAATGTATTTTAAAATATTTTGTGTAAAAATTTATTCAGAAATCTAATATTCTCAGAAGTTTATATTGTAAAACATTACTTCAACGAAAATTAGAACATTTCTGTAATGTTTTTTCAACATTTTATGTTGTTATAATTCAACGTTTCTAAAATGTTGATTCAATATTAATACAACATTATTTATTACATTCCTATACATCGAAAAATTTTCAGAAATATCTCAGAAATATTCCAACTGAAAAGTGGAATATTTCATAAAAATTGCTAAATATGTCTGCAATATTTTTGCAATATTTTCTATTTCTGAGACAGCTCTGGAGTTTGGAATAGCAAAATGTCCGCGATGCTTGCACATGAAACCTTGTTGAAAGATTGCCGAAATGTTACAGAAAGAATTTGCAATCTTTTTGAAATATTACCAAAAAGTTACAGAAATAGCTGAAATCTTTTTAAATATTGCTGTTCAATCGAAGGATTATGATCAGCAATATTTTAAAGGCTATTTTTCTAATACTTTGGAAATATTTAAATATTATATTTAAATATATATTTGATACTTAAATATTTAAATTTATTGTATTGACATAATAAATTTAAATATCAATTAAATATATA